TTTGTCAGAATTGACTTGATCATATCCAGCATGTAAAAGTTTAATAAAAGCATTGATTATTTAAAGAAAATCCAAAGTTTTAACATATCTGTCACTAAAGCAGAAAAGCTACTTTGAGTACAAGTTTTCCTAAAGCAAATGATTTTTTTAAACATAACTATTTTTGAAACTTAGTACTTTGTCATAACATGAGAAACTTATATAAGAGTATTAATAATAGCATAGTTATACTAAGAATTTAGTATCTGTTATAAAACCTCCATGACACTTTTTTCCCACTGATACAATTAAAGATACTCCACTATAGCTTTCTGATTCCTTGGGGAAGGGAATCACAGTTTCTCAAAAGGCCATTCCGGCCGAGCACACATTTTACTGGGTCCTTGTTGTTGTTGAGTCATGTCCAACTCTTCATCACCCCATTTGGGGTTTTCTTGGCAAAGATACTGGAGTGGTTTGCCATTTTCTTCTCTAGCTCATTTTATAGATGAGGAAACTAAGGCAAACAGTTAGGTGACTTTGCCTAGAGTCACATAGCTAGTAAATGTCTGAGGCCAGATTTGAACACATGAAGGTAAGTCTTTCTGATTCCAAGCCCAATACTCTGTCCACTGTGACACCTAGCTGCCATTTGTTGGGTCCTACCAAGCATTAAATGGAGGCCAGGTGATGGACTCAGTATCTAGAATACCCAACTATGGAAAGACTCAATCTCTAGGAGATAAACTACAAAGTAATATTTTTTTTTCCTTTGGGTATTAGAAACTCAAGAAATCATTCACTAAGGAGTTTTTGAAGGGGAAATGTGAAATCTCAGATTACCTCAGATCTCGGATCAATCGTAGAACATCTATGCAATTTTGTAATTTTGGAGTAAACCTTTTGTTACCTTTCAATTAGGGGAAAAAACATTCACTTAGGCCTCTACTTGTCAGTCAAACTGCACTTTTTTCCTTCAAAAATATTCAAAACCCTTTCACCAAACATTTATTAGGTACCTATTATGTACAAAGTCGAGGCTGCTAGGTAGTACAGTGAATAGAGCCCCAGGCCAGGAGTAAGGAAGACTCATCTCCTGACATTAAATCTGGCTTCAGACACTACCTGTGTGATCCTGGGCGAGTCATTTAACCCTGTTTGCCTCAGTTTCCTCATCTGTAAAATGAGCTGGAGAAGGAAATGGAAAAGCACTCTAGTATCTCTGCCAAGAAAACCCCAAACGAGGTCATGAAGAGTCAGACATGACCTAATAATACATACAATGTATTCTTTTAGTGTCTGAAACAAAATACTTCAAGAATTTTCTTCTGACCGCTATTATTTCACTTTCTGTAAAAAATGGAACACTATCATGCAGTAGCTTTAGTATTATAAATTAACATGAGAAACTGACAATTTTTAAGTTCCCTACAAATTATAAAACTATAACTTAACTGAAAAAAATCAAAACTAATTTGGTGTTTGCAGCATAGGAGAAAATACAAGAAAGTTATTGAAATTATTTATTAGTATTTAGCCACAAATCTGGGCAAGTTTTAGTTTTTTGGTTTTGTTTGAATTTCTTTTTCCTCCCTTCAAAATTCTCCCATAATGCTTCCTTTTGCTATTTAATAACATATTAAGACAAATACTGTCTTAATTTGTGATATAGTTAAAGAACTCATAGATTATTGAGATCTTTAACATGGGAGATTATTTCAAATGGATGTTATTTGGAATTAGTGAAAATAAATTAAATTTCTATAACAAAAGATCTGGGAATATTGGCATAGTGGAGAGAGTTGTTTTTATTCATGTGATGATATTTTAAACATGTTTTCCTCCCCCAGTAATAATGACTTTGTAATATCCCACTCCTCTCTTCCCCTCTCCCCAATGTTTCTTGTTATGTTTGAATAAAACAACACTACAGGCATCTGATTTACAATTTTAATCCAAAAACTTTCTGAAATTAACACTGGATCCTCTCTGTTGTAGCTCTTCTCTTTCCCTGGCACTGTCCCCCTCTTTCTTCCTTTCCTTTCCATTTTCCCTTTCCATTCCTCTCTCCAAAATTTGAATCTGTTTTGCTTATGACTATTCCTTTGTCAATCAATGAATCAAACAATAAATATTTATAAAGGGCCTACTATGTGTCTGGCACTGTGCTGTGCTGGAGATACAAAAAAGGGCAAAAGACAGTCCCTGCCCTCAAGAAACTTACAGTTTAATGAGGGAGACAATATGCAAACAAATATATACGAACAAGATAATACACAGGATAATAGGAAATGATTAACTGAGGGTAGGCACTAGAATTAAGAGGGGTTGGGAAAGGCTTTCTGTAAAAGATGGGGTTTTAGTTGGCATTTAAAGGAAGCCAGAGAGGTCAGTAACTGGAGTAGAGGAGGAAGAATGGTCCAGGCATAGGAAAAAATCCAGAGGAAAAAAGTCCTCTTTTAATTCTATTGTCCCCTCCCTCATCTCTTGTCCCTCTTCTTTCCTTTTGAGTTTACCAAAATGTGTGTGTGTGTGTGTGTGTGTGTGTGTGTGTGTGTGTGTGTGTGTAATTGGGTTCAATTTTCCTTGATCCAGTTCATATGAAAGTGAGGTTCATGGGATGTCTATTCTCCCTACCCCTTCTTTCTTTGTGACTATATGGTCTTTATTTCCTGTACTTCTCTTATTCAATAGTTATTTCTTTCTGCTTTTTCCACCTCCCATTTTTGTCTTCTCCTAAGAAAGACCAAAGCCACCTCCATCCTCTGTCATTTTTACCTTTCTCTGTGACCCTTAAAAATGTTAGGGTTCTCAGTAGACATTTGATTCTTACCCCCTATTAACATGTAGATAATTCATCCCCACACATTAAATGGAATGACCAGTTAATAAAAGAAAAAAAAATTAATATGAAGATGGCTCTTTAGGAGAGAGAGCCATACATGGGAAAGGAAATTTGGGTGATGTAAAAACTGAACATATCAATAAAATTTTATTATAAAAATAGCATTGGAAATTTATAGGCATCTAAAATATAGAAGCTGTCTAAGATTTTCTGTTCTGTATGGTTAGTCAGTTAATTAACAAGAACATATTGATTGCCTATAATTTGCAAATCACTATACAAACTGAGGTAGAGGTGGGTGGAATCTGACCTTGAGGAACTTAGGTTGGCAGCACAAAACATTCATAAATGAAAAAAAGTGAACAAAGTTACAAAGAAACATGTAAACATATACAGGTAGTAAAGTACAGATGAAATTAATAAGTGCTAAGAAGATGCTGAACAAAATGGTGACTGAGCTGGCAAGGAGATATTTGAAGAAAGAGCTGCTTGTGGAGAGGTCAGCTTGTGGCCAGGTATAGACAGATTAAATGGTATTAGAGGAGGGCATTGGAAGATAAAGACTGGTACAAATCATTTGTGTTCTGGTAGAGAACAGTAGCTTGTGCTTGAATGAGCAGTGGTTTCTTCACTTTGACGAACTCCAGTGTGGGAACTGTCTTTCTCTACGCCTTATTGAGTCCCAAAGAGTTGCCTGAGACATATAAAGGTTAAGTGACTTAACCAGGGTCACAGAGCCAGTAAGATCAGAATCAGGATTTGAACTCAGGCCTTCCTGAGTCCAAGCCCAGAACTCTACCCACAATTCCACAAAAGGAGGGGGAAGTGTAGAAGATGATGATAATAGGGTAATTACTTCATCTCTGTTATAGAGGGGAGTTATGAAGGACTTGGTCTAGAATACTACCTCTGACATTTACCAGCTGGCTAATGCTGGGGAAATCATCTAATCTCTGTCAGTTTCAGTTTCCTCACCTGTAAAATGGAGTTAATAACTACACCTCTCTCACAGAGTTGTGAAGATCAAATGAGGTAGTGTATATAAAGTGCTTTGCAAACATTAAAGAACTAGATAAAAACCATCTTTTATTATAAAGCCAACTGCCTCAGGTATCAAGTTGGCAGATGACAGTTCATTTGTTTATTAAGTTGTGGAATTTGACATTTGAAGATCCTCTTTTTACTAAATATCAAACAAATACCAAAACCTACTGGACCTACCAATAAATTCCTGGTTTTGTATATATACGTGTGTGTATGTATATGTATATGTAATAGATTATATATGCATATATAGTAGACATATATGCATATGTATATAATAGATTACAATTTCTTTCAAAAAAGGTACAGAAAGCCTTTTTCTTTAGTCATAGACTATTCATAATTGTTGACTTCCTATATATCTTCTTTTTTACCATGTGGGACCAGGGTGGGATTACTATCAGTTACAAAGAGGAACACAGTCATTAAAAATAAGCACCCTAGATGAAATGTACAAACTATTCTACCCTTGAAAATCTGTAAAAGATACCATCATTCGTAGATGTGCATATTTATGAAATAGCTCATAAAATAAATATTGGCAAGTCAACAAGGAGTGTGGGTGGTAAATCTCTTTTAGGGGCAAGCTATGAGGGGCACTATGTGGTTGTGATACATAGAGGATCTTTTACCTAATATTAAAAATGTTTCATGGATTCAAGGAAAAAGATTTTAAATGTCTACACTTTGTTAGACTTTAAAGATTTGGAACACAGAAACTTTAAAAGTAGTCAGTAAATGGTTTCATCTATTTATAAACTATTATGCATAACATGTAAATAGATGCTAAAATGTTATTAGTATTTGATATAAGAAAAAAACAAACTAGGTAAGTGCAGAACAATGCTTAGGATTAAAAATGTTATAAACTTGTGCTTAAATTGGCTTTATATAATTAAGTAGTATTTCTACTAGAGACCTATTTTTTGGTTTTTGTTATTGTGAAAAGATGACTTTGTGTGTGTGTGTGTGTGTGTGTGTGTGTGTGTGTGTGTGTGAGTGTGTGTGTGTGTTTCTGTAATATCAGACATCTGGGGGGAGGAGTTGGAGAGGAAAGATGAGAAAATAATTTGGATTATTTTACTGGCATTCACAAACCTCTTAGAATTCTTTTGGTTTTTAAATTTATGATGTAGGCCAAGATATTTTCTCAAATGACTATGATAGAGAATAAACCATTTATTTTAAATGACCAGTGAAACTGAGTGGATAATTTTCCTTTAAATTTTCCCCATGTCTTTGAAGTTAAGATGTAGATCTAATCTACAAATATTCATTCTTATACCCTGCCTAGCTCACAGGGTTGTTGTGAAGAACGAAGTTGTCTCCCACAGTATAGAGGAAAGTGCTTTGAAATCCTTAAGGTGTAAGTGTAAGTTTAATAGGTTATCAAGGATTGCTCAACTCAAACTTAACTGTGAGCTGATGATATTATTTTGACCGATCAGTTTCAGTGAAAGACTTCTTGTAAGAACTCCTGTACTAATTGCCACTTAATCTATTGATGACTAGCCTAATTAACGTAACTCAGGTTTGGAGCCATCAGTGTGTTAGTGACAAAACTTTCTCTCCTTTCTTGATGTTATATATCACTTTAGAAAAATCAAAAGAAAAGCAGTGGGCCCACGAGAAAACATTCGGAGGGTGTTGCAACACCGGGACGCATCGGGGTGAGTGAAAAAGTACGCCTTTACGTTTGTGTGCATGCAAATTAGATCGTAAATATATCCTGGTTTCATTCTCCATTCCCCATCTTATTTACACAAAGAAATTTGGTTTCTAACAGTTGACAGAACACTTAACAAAATCTTCTTGAGAGTCATTAAAACCGTCCCCAGGATTGTTTGCGTTGTCATTCTCTACAGTCACTTTTGATTCGCCTGGAAAACCAGTCCATCTGGAGAAAAAAAAAGATAATTTATCGCCAGTCGGCTGATAAAATAAAGGGTTAATTAGGATACTAAAAGTTGCTTGTTGATTTACCGTGATCTCCTGTGTAGGTGAGAACAAATATGTAATCTGCTGTCCCACCCCAGATTAAAAAGAAATCTGCTTTACATCAGTTTGGTTCTGTAACTTCTTTCAACTGGAAACCTCCTTTTTGACCCCAGATGCCCTGAAAGATGTTTGAAAGCCACAGAGAAACTTTTAATGTAAAGAAGAGAGGCAGAGACCACCTGGAGAAACACATATTTTTTAAAAAAATATTGTGGCTCTCACCTTTTCCGACGGATATACTTCCTGCTCATCCCCAGGCTTTAGAGAAGCGCCGGGGTAGGAGTCTTAACTATCAGAATAATTAAAAAGAACAAGTTGAAGGATTTGTTTAGCCTGGGATGCCAAGCGCTGGAGGAAAAGCCAGGAGAGGGTAGGGAAGGGACCATTTCCTGATAGGTAGTAGTTTTTCCTTCTCGGAAAAAAAATGTAAATGTCACTCTAAAATGTCCTTCCTGTAACGTAAAAGGTCACTGGCACTGTTTTCTTTCCAGGAGAGTTTAGGAATTTTGACCTCACGATTGATGGGATTGACATCCGTTAAAAGATAAATTCTAAGGACCACTGGGAAGACAAGAAAAGAAAACCACACCACTGGATCATTCATGGAAAGAAAGACCTAGGATATCAAACTCGAGCCATTTAGAGCAGATGCAGAAATTTAAAAAAAACAAACTACTATAGAGAGTAGGTGGGAGTGGGGAAAGGATACACGGATTAGGACTGCATCATTCCTCAAATAAAAACACCGGAGAATTGGAGAAAAAGCAAGTTTAGGTCAGGACAGGGGGAGCCGTTTGTCAGTCGGGTAGCTTAACTTCAGGCACATGGCTTACTTTTTGTGACCGGTTTGTTCTCCAAACCACTTTAGGTGCGAATACTCTAACTGGACTAAAAGGTGAGCACAGGGGACTACCGTAGCTGAGGGGACAAGTCCGTTCAACCCTACATCTCAAGCCTTTTCTAATCTTATCCTTCCCTAGCAGTTCACTGGACATTAATACCTGTCGGACTCGCGGTTCGGACATTAATACCTGTCGGACTCGCGGTTCTCTCTACTAAACTATCTCAAACTCCCGGATCTTTCTGCGTTCTAAACCTGTTGTGCGTTCACCATCCGACGCGTCTCGATCCTGTGGCGGTTGGTTTGGCTTCATTGCCAACTTAGAAGAGGCGGGCGAAAGCTAGCTTTAGCTCTGCTTCCTTTGTATTTTGTGCCCTAAGACCCCTTGACTTTGTTTTAATTTTATCTGTCCAATGAATTCTCCGTTTCGATTTCACAAACCCACAGGTAAGATGCGAAGGGCCATTAGGCTTAAGCAAGTAATTTTCTTTTTAAAGTTGGGATTTGGGGGAAAAAATGAAATGCAAATGATTTTTAAAAGTTGGGAGTTGGAAAAAAAGTGTGATTTGAACTTGTGGGTCTGTTTTAATCACAAGTTTTTGATTTCATTCGAGTCACAAATATTTCGTGCAATCCTCACTGCTGGGCTTGCACTTAAGGGGGCTGCTTTGAGACGGTAGGTTGGGAGAAAGGATGCTGTTCAGCAGCTCACAGAGGGAGTTGCTGCACCACTGTCTGGTTCAGAATTCAGAAAAGATTTAGCATCTGTGTGTTCCCCGTGTCCCCCCTCCCCCATGTGTTCACTGCCCCCAAGGACACACATCACTTCTACGATTGAGCTTTACAGGTAATGATTTGGCCTGCTTCTATCCTTTTTTCCCTCTCCCCCCCCCTTTTTAAAATGTGTTTCTACTCTCTCTCTGTTCTGTGTGTGCTTTGGGTACATATAATGAGAAGGGAGGAGGAGGAAGCTTGAGAAGCAATTGCTCCGCCAGTGGGCGTTTTCTGGCTGCTGCCGGAGCGTCCATGGGAGGCACTGCAGTGATTTTATCCGCTGCTTTTGAGCATCCATCGAACAACATATATATCAGAGAGCATAGAAAACACACAGAGCCCATAGGTATACTCGCTCCCCCTCCCCCAACCTCCACAACTGGAGAAGAGGAGTCCTTGTTCCATTCGGGAGCCACTGCTGGACCAGCCCCGACAGACATCATCATGTCTGTCCCTTCCACCTAGAGAGGGGGATGAAAATGTGAAGATTTTACTGGGCGGGGAACCGAAGACAGGAGAGGGGGAGAGGCACCCCCTCCCCCAAACCTTTCGCAGTGGTTAGCCTGGAAAGCTCCTAGCGGGGAGGGGAGCATAGACGGAGAGAGGCGCCTGGCTGCGTCCCTGGCTTTTCGCTCCCCCACCTCGCGGCGTCTCTAGCAAACGTCCTGCCTCGAACTACCGCGAAAAAGGGAGGAGGGTCATGTCCAACCCCGAGAAGCAGCTTTTATCCCGCCCCCAGGCCCCTCTGTCTGCAGACGGGAAAAGGCTCAGATCCGGCCACTACCGACTGCACTCGGATCTCGGCGGCGGCGGCGGCAACGGCCAGGGCGGGGACGGTTCTAGCGCTCCGAAGGTTGGGAACGCCCGCGGTTTCCCCTTGCTTCTGGCCCGCGCAGACCTGGGCACAGATTGTCCGGGCCCCGGCGCCGCTTGCTTCTCTTCGTGCGGTACTCGCGGCGGCGGCGGCGGCTGCAGCAGTCGTAACGGCAGCGGGGTCGTCCCTCGATCTCCTTTCTCCGTTCCCTCTTCCTCCTCCCCCTTTCCGTCCTCTTCTCCATCTTCCTTTTACTTCTTGCCGCCCCCGCCTCCCCCTCCTCCTCCTCCTCTTCTCCCCTCCTCGTCTTGCTTTCACCTCCCAGCGGGTCTCCAAGGAAGGGAGGCAGCAGCAGCAGTAGCAGCAGCAAGAGGAGGAGGAGGACGTAGAGGAGGAGGAGATGTTGGAGGAGGAGGAGGAAGAGGAGAAGAAACAGCTCCCTTGATCGTCCACCCGAGCAATAGTAGTAGCAGTAGCAGCAGCAGCGGCAGTGGCAGCGGCAGCAGGAGGCGGCGGCTGTTTTTCTCTCCTCCTTCCCTCCAGGGTTTACTGCTCCCAGTCGGCCCCCGGCTGCAGCAGCAGCAGCCGCCACCACCACCGCAGCCACCTCGGCTTCTCCTTTCCTCAGCCTCCTGCAGCCTGTGGTCCTACAATTTCCTCGGCGCTGCAGGCGCTGCCGGCGCCGGCGGTGGGGTCGGAGGCGGCGACCGGGGTTACACCAGCAGCAGCCGCAGCAAAATTCAGCGGCGGCAGCAGCGGCAGCAACCGCCTAGAGGCTCCTTCTTCTTCGCTGCCTCCTCCCCCTTGTCACTAGGGTCAGACATGGAAGATGGATCTTCTAGAAATGCAAGCTGCTTTAGAAGGTTTACGGAGTGTTTCTTGAACCCGAGTAAGTGGCTTTATGCTTTCTTTATTCGCCTTACCCCTGCCCCACCCCCCTAATTCTTGGGAGGATGGGGGGAAGGGTTATACTGGTGGAAGTTGAGGGTTGGATGCAAGTAGAGGGAGAGAAGGTAGTTCATTTTGGAGGGGTAGGGGTTTTATTCCACGTGCAATTTGGCAAAGAGGCAGTGTGATGGTTTTTTTTTTTAAATCTAGTTTGCTTTTGGGAGAGGAGATGAGAGCACAAAAATATGGAGTGTGAATGAAAGGGGCTTCGTGAATGTGTCGAAAGGTTTTTTTTTTTTTTACGCCTGTGTGTGTGTATACTGTATATGCATGCGTCTGAGAGAGGCGGGAGAACTGTAGGTAATTTGTCATGGAAAAGAAAATACTGTCCAATTCTTGCGTTGAGGTCCCAGAGGTTTTTTTTTTCTGACGAGGTCTACCTGGCACGTACCCCTCAAGTTGCTCCGATTAAGCGCAGCGCCAGACAGAAAGCCCATTTTTCGTTCTCTGGGCTTGGGACTGACTTGTCCAAAGTCAGAGGTTCTTTATGCCACTTTGGAGGCCAGGGGGCGGGGGGCTTGGCTTCTCCAATAGTGGAAGAGAACAAGTCAGGGGCGCCACTGACACCTCCCACCACCACCCTCTGCTCTGGGCATGCGGAAAAGGGCATTAATTAGCTTGTTGCAGGAGAACTCTACCACCAAACCCAAGACAAATACACACTTAGTTTTTGAACGATCTTTTGATTTAATCATCGCTGCTGCCACTACGGCCGGCGTCGGGTGCCTGTGACTTTAATTCAAGCTCTCTTTGCCCGCTAGGAAACAAGTGTTTGCACCTGACTGTTTTTCGGGGCATGAGGGAGTCGGAGTTTCCTAGGGTCTTGTACTCTCTTTTGGGGTCTATGACTCTGATCTCTGTGCCTCATTGCAGAACCCTTTTCTGTTAGATTTAGGGAATTTAATTGGTGCACAGGTTCTCGGTAGGGGATAATAAGTGAAGCAACAATAATCTCCATGTCTGGGAGGTGAGAAAGACAATCCGCAGTCATATACTGCTGGATTTAGGCTTCCTGACAGCTGGCATCTTCCTTCATCAGGTGCTTTTTTCCGGGGAAGCTGGCCTGGGCTGGGGAGAGGGCAGCGTCAGGAAATTGGTAAGGGGAACTCAGCTGGGGGATCTCCACCAAAGTTAAGAGAAAAAAAGTGGAGACTCCCCGAGAAGGGAGGAGGTAGGTCCCTGGGGGGAGGGCTCCAAAGCTAGAGAAAAGGGGAGCTTTTGCTAAGTGTCAGAAGAGTAAATTTGAAGAAAGAAGGAAGTGGGGCAGGACTCCCTGAGAGGGAGGGCATGGGTTAGCAGGAGGTGAAATGGACTCAAGAGGCAAAGGGATGTTGCCCTATGTGGCCCAGAATTTCAGAGACTGCACGTTAGACTACCACTGCAGGAAATACTTGGGACGGGGAGAATACTGCTCTTTGCAGAAGTCTATTGCTTTCCCAAGGAGTTCTCCACGACCCTCCAAGCCAACCTTCAATTTCACCATCGTTCTTTCAGGGCCTATAGACTCTGCAATTTGGTATCCTTTTGGGGAATCGCATCTCACTGTTTACCAGTTTGGGAAAACTTCCCTATTGGGTTTCGTGGCATACTGACTTGCTTAAGCGTGTTCTGGAGTCCACTTTTCCAGTTCAGAAGTTTTCTTTTTTCAATATGCTCTTTATGCTCAATGCTTTGTTGGGAGAGCCCTGAGTAGCATTTGGTCTGCAGGGCCCAAAGAATCAAAAGGAGCTTTTAGGGAATTTTGTTCCTGGGTGGTTGAGTTGTAAGCTAGGGATGTGGGGAAAAGTCACCTATCTTGTAGCTGCTTTTTGCAGAAACAAATTGCTTGGTAAAAAGGCAGCAGTTTCTTGCTGAAGGGCTTTCCTTTGCTGGGTTTCAAGTCAGCCAGGCACCCTGTTGGGTATCTTGGATATGTTTTGTCTGTTAGCTGTCCATTGACCAGTAAATAAGAAATATTGTTTAATACCTCTAATCCTTACCCCCAGTCTTGTCCCAGAACAGCCCCACCAGTGGATAATTCCTGTTACAGGTGTCACTCTATTGCTACAGATTTCAGAAAGTGAGAAGAGGGAGAAAAGGGAGTGAGTGAGAGATTTGGTTTCAATGCCTTATTCATTCTTTTCACTACATCTGCAGAGTAGGGAAAAAAAAAAGATGCCCTACAGAGAGTAGTCGGAACACATTTGGTCATTACATCCTCATGCACCTTAGACTTGGCAGCCCACACCCAGCATGTAGGTCATGTAGGATCCCAGATTTAGAGTTGGAGGAAGACCTTAGAGGTCTTGGGGTCTAGCCCCTTCATTTTACAGATAAAGGAAACTGAGGTCCAGACTAGCTTCATAAACTAGTTAGTACCTTAAGCAGGATTTGAATTCTGTGCTTTGTGAATTCAGGCTGAGTAAATACTCCATTCACTGTTCTATACTGCTTCTCATGAGGTGCTTTCTCAGAGTGCAAAGTGGAAAGCTCCCTTATTTGTCTTCAAACAGAAAGCAAGGCTCAGCAGGTAGATTTAACGATTCTTTTGAGTTTACTTGTGAATTTCCTTGTTCCTTCAGCTTTTCTAGAAGGAGCTGGGAAATTCACTGACAGAATTTGGTTGGGGGAATAGTATATTGGATAAATAATAAGTAATGGTACTTGAAAATACCTTTAACTGCAAAAATGAGAAGGGAGAAAAAATTGTGAGGAGGGGAGACAAGGGTGAACCATTTAATGTCAGGTGTCTTGGATCGCTAGAGGCAAACCTTAAGAATTCCAGTTTGGGAGGAAGAAAGATTATAGGCAGTACCTTTGCTACCAATTGCCCTTATAGGGGAAAAGCTAGAGTTTAAGGTGTGGTGGAGGAGAGGCTCACCATTTGATATTTCCTAGGTCTTTATCACCAATTATAATACCCTTAGATGGGGAAACTTTGAGTGCTATGGAATTAAGGGGCTGAAAATTTTCCTTGGATTGCTATAAGAATAGAAAGGTCTTATTTTCATTCTTCCTTTTTCACCATCTGAAGAGGTCACAAGAACTACAGCACCAAGTACTTTAGATTGATTTATCAGTGCTAAAAGCATATAAATGCAACCAATTTTTACCCTGGTCATGTTTGCCAAGGTGAAGCACTTATTAGATTTATATGTTGTAATGCCCTAATTTTTCAAATACTAATTTTCTTATAATGAATTGCAGAAGTTAAAAACAAAACAATGAAGACAGAAAATTTCCTGGAAGAAAAAAAATCCAGTTGTATGAGAGTTCCGTGAAAATCACAGTCCAAAAAAAGGATAGCATGATAGCATCCTATGGATTTATCCACCACTTCTGTGATCAAGACATTCATTAGAGTTTTAGATTATTGACAATTACAGTGGATAAAATCAGTTCTATTGAAGGGAAATGAAGTTTGCAAAAGGCACAGTAGCTAATTTTAGATGAGATGGATTTTGGTGAAAGATTGTTAAAGATTATTGTTTAAGTATTGTTAATTGTACCTACTTGTTCAGTCCTATCTGAAAGAATGCAGAATTAGTCATTATTAAAGAACGTCCTATTACTTCAGAAAAGGGATCATAGATTTTGAACTGGAAAGAACCTAAGAGGTCACCCAGTCAGGTTCCTTATTGTATCTGCACAAAACCTGATCTGATTCCCCCCATTGCTAATGCCTTCCCCTCTAGTCCACTCCTCTGAATTATTATTAATCTACTTGGTACTTACTCACTTATGTTCATGTTATTTTCTCAACACTGGTGAAAAACTCCTCCAAGGCCAGGGCATAGTTGTCTTTGTATCTCTGCTTCCAGGGACATAGTGCTAGTCCCTTAATAAATACTTGTGGAATGAATTTTACTGGTAAAGAAATTGAGTCCCAGAAAGGTTAAGTGGTTTGTCCCTGAACACACTGGTATGTTGGAGAGCCAGAATTTGAAGTTAGGTGGTGCCTGAATAGAGCCCTTGGACCTAGAGTCAAAACACTTAACAGCTGCAGGTCCCTATGCAAATCACTTAACCACACCCTGCGTTTCCTCATTGGTAAGCGGAGATAATAAAAGCACCTACTTCCGTGTTGTGAGGATAAAATGAGATAATATTTTAAAAAAGTGCTTTGCAAACTTGAAAGTTACACACACACACACACACACACACACACACACACCACACGCACACGCACGCACGCACACACACACACACACACACTCTCTCTCTCTCTCTCTCTCTCTCTCTCTCTCTCTCTCTCTCTCTCTCTCTCTCTCTCTCTCTCTCTCTCGCTATTATCATTGAACACAGGACCTGTAACTCCAGACCTAGATGTACCACATTTCCTCCTATTTTATACATATTCATATAATTAGAAAACAGATGATTTATCTGTATATGTAAACATGTGCTTATATTTACACATACTATAATCCATCCATTCATTTACATATATCTGAACACATACATATATGTAGATGGATTATATATGTAAATATATGTGTATATGCGCACACACACATATATAAACATATAGATTATGGATTATACTTGGTGTATCCTTGTCAGAACTCAAAAGAAAAAAGGGGACTTTGTAGTGATTCCTGGAGGTACTCTTTTGGGTTAAATGCCAAGTTCTGAATTCAGAATCTCTAAAGACCTGTGCTTGAATCCCGTTTTTGACACTTAGTACCTGTGTGATCCTCTGTAAGTCACTTGGCTTCCCTGACCTTCAGTCTGTTCATTTTTTCATTTGTGTCCGATTCTTTGTGACCCCATTGTGCACTCTCGAGTGTGTGTGTGTGTGTGTGTGTGTGTGTGTGTGTGTGTGTGTGTTGGCAAAGATACTGGAGTGATTTGCCATTTGCTTCTCCAGCTCATTTTATAGATGAGGAAACTGAGGCAAATAGGATTAAGTGACTTGCCCAGGGTCACACAGCTAGTAAGCATCTGAGGGCAGATTTGAAT